ATTTTTCAAATTTATGTTGATTTCGCGAAATTGGACACATAAAAAGTCAATGCTAACTTAGAGATTTAAATTGCATACTTAATAGTTGAAAAATAAATTTGCCACTTTCAAATACTTGGAGAATTAAATAAGCATTTTCCCTTATATCCATGCTAATATACCACTCTGCTGCCTTCGCTGTCTACACAATCTGTCGCGGTGGATGACAATGGATGCATCTAGAAGATCCATGAATGGCTTTAATCAGCACGATCCGACGCAGCCTCTATTTTTGGCGCACTCCCTCTATGTTATTTCCTCCTCGACATGGTTGTTGAATCGCTTGTCATCTTGGGTTTGAGGAAGATGAAGTAATAGTGTCATGGGCAAAATCATCAGAAATTGATATATACGATAATCAAAGTCCTGGACGAACTAGTTTAACAAGTACCAGGCTGATATTATTTTGGCGGACACTTGAAACATTATATTGGTTTGACAGATAATTTACATAAACAAAGTAGACATATGGTTTGTATCTTCCAATAAGACAAAAATGAATCCTAGGCCCTAGCTTTTATTTTAGTTGACAGAATCAATGGACTGTTTTCTTAAAAATCATATCAAGAACATCCATTAAACAACTAACCTAACTTTTCTAATAATTCGCCTTTCAAATTCAAGACCAATGGTATCATCAACTTACGTGAACGAATTCTGTTTTTATATTTTAATCACAACATTACTTACCTCTACTGAAAATGCTCAAATCATTTCTAATTTTCTATAGGAAAAGTACAATAAAGAAAACACAGAGAAATTCAGAGAGAACAGTCATCTCTTTGTCTGAACACTCAGATGAGATCTATTTACTTTTTCTTGGGGACCCATCACATACCTTGTCGCCCTTTGGTGTCTATTTTAGAACTCGTATACATCACTTCTTTGGATTTTATTCTTTCCTACCAAAGACGTTGGTTGTATTGCAACTACCAAAGAAGTTGTTTATGGATTAAGATCAGGAACTTACCTAGGCGGTTCTTAGAGACTACAGGAAAATAAATAAATAGTTTGACATTTATATCATAAATTTACCTAAAAACGGCAAATGGCATTAGAGATTCTATTTAAGTAAGTTCAAAACATACATGACATAATTAATGTAAAAAAGGTTTTCTAGAAGATGCATAACTAATGAACTATTTCTTAATTATTAGTTAGGATATTAGAAATATAATTGAAATAACTAGGAGAAAACTCGTACGCACGAATCTTGTTTTACTTATGTTTTTAATTTTCTAGTTCAACTATCAAATTTTTTTTTTTGCGATTTCCTTAATATTTTTTATGACCATAATAATCTTTTCTATCAATTATTTTTAAATTTTTTTAATTGAAATCTCAATGTAGCAATCATTTTGAAATTTCAATCTAGCAATCTCAAAACTTGTTCTTCAATTGTCTAAAATTCTTAACCTATCTTTTTATTTTATTTTATTTAGTAACTTGTTTTTTCGATCATTTTTACTTTCTGCAGTTTACCATATTCATGTTTTGTTTTCATATATTTTATTGATTCTATTTATTTGTTGTCATATTTTTTTCTTTTTTATTTTGTCATTTTTTTCTTTATTTTTGATAATTTTTTATCTTTTCGATTGTTTAATGAATATTTTTTTTTGTGTTTTGTGGTTTTCTAACTCTACTAAATTTGTTCTTTAGTTGTTTGAAATTTTCTTAATCTATTATTCTTATTTTTGGTTTTATTACTTATATTTTTTTTTACTTTTTATGAATAAATTATCTTTGTTAATTAAAAAATATGAATAAATCACATAGAAAAAAGAGTAGACAAAACTAAAATCTCAAATTATGTTTGTTTATACATTGTGATGTTTAATTTAAATTTGTTTATATTATTCTGATAATTTATTATTTTTAACATAATAAAAATTAAATTAAATTTTTTTTATGCATTAATAGTAGAAATATTTTTTTGTGACATGTGTCACTCTTTCCAGTACTAATATATCACTCACCTGGAGAGAGTTGAACAACTTTTCTATATACGATATACAGAGCATATATTAGGGGGTGTTATTCAATCATGGTTTTTAATAGAGTTTAAATCCATCTATAATCCATTGTTATTCAATAATTGATTTTGATTTCTCCTTCAAAATCCAATATTATTGGTTCATGTATTTACAATCTCTTCATTAATAGAGTTTAAAATCCATTGTTATTCAATTAAAGAGTTGAATAAGTCAATTAAAATCTTATGTTATTCATGTTTAACAGATTCTGACAACTGATTTTAAGTGAAAGATTTTAACTGAATTTGAACCTATTTTTATGTGTTAAATATAGCAATCAAAATCTAACCTTTTACCCTCAGATTTTGATAATTATAAAATTCAACACAAATAATTATTAACATTTGTTTTTTTCTTTCTTCCCTCCATATATTAATCCATCGAATACATCATTTTTCATCCCTCCAATTTTTTTTCTTTTCCCTCCATTTTGTCTTTTCATTCTTCATACGTCTTCCTTTTCCCTAGTCCATTTCTCTCACCCTTCTCTCTTTCCATAAGTCAACAAACCATTTATTATTTATTATGAAAACTCAATTTCTCACTATTCTCTCTTTTCTTTAGCACATATTTATCTCACTTCTCTTTCTCCATAAGTCATCAAAGAAAAAGTAATATCTTTCTGGATTAGCAATTGTTCTGATTTTTGTTTTGATTATTTAATTTATTTGCCATGTTTATAGAGACTAGTGATATTTTTTACTTCGACGAATTTTTTTGAGAATTCTTTTCTATTAGATTTTAAATGATAGCATGTGACTTTCTAAATACACTGCTAAGTAATTTAAAATTTTAAATAACTCATATACTTTAGATTCTAAATGAATTAAAAAATTTTAAATCTGATCTACTCTAATCTGGTGGAGTTGATTTCAACATACAGATTGAATAACACCCCCTAAGTGTAAAAGAATGGTTTTCTAGAAGATCCTTAACTAAGGTTTCTTAATTATTTGTTAGAATCTTAAAATAGTAACAAAAAAAAATAAAATAAAAACGTAAAATAGCATTTCTACCCCAAAAAAAAAAACGTAAATAACCTTCAAAGTTCTAACTGTAGCTTATTCGGTCCAGTAATTTACAAAAGGTTCATTAATGGTTTTATATAAAAAAAATACTGTAACTTCATCTTTTCTATTATATGATGGCACATATAAGAATTAATTTAGTTATTTATGTCATCAAAGTGCAGATCATTTGTCTAAAGAGAATATTAGAGTTAATTAGCTTGCTAAAAACTAGAGTAATTTAGAAATGAGTGATCTATTGATAATTTCTGACACTGTTGATGAAGACAAAACACGGAAAAATATTATGGTGATATACAGAAATAGTAAACAAATCTTACGTAACTCCCAATGCACCGTCCGTCAGACAAAGATAGGGTTTACATGCCGAGAGAAGGCATGGAGGTGCATGAATGGTGGTGATCGGAGCATTACAAATATGAAGTTCAAGTAGAACATTATCAGCGTGGTGCAAGTACAGAAACTCGTCGAAGTCTGTGTCAAATACCAAACTTTACATCACCAACATATATAGAGCAGGTAAAACCATCTGATGTGGATCTTTGTATGCAGTAAAATTATCAGTTGAAGAATTGTGCATAGAATTGTTCTTAGAATTTGTAATAAATAATAATAACTCAGAATGAAAAAAAACATTCCAAGTAAAATTTTCTTTCCGCACTAAATACAATCTTATATGTTTTAATAGCCATATTTTGTTTAAAATAAAAATTGGTAAACATTGCGGGATCTGTAACAAATCACTTTGTATTGTATACGTACACCACCTTGGTCTTTTTTACATTTACTTAGCTAACTGGTTTATATACTCGTAAAGGAATTACATATCATTATAAATGCTATGAAACTGTTGTTTTGCTTAAATAAGATTAATCGAGGAGTTATGGAATCCTGTACATTTTCTCGCCGGGAATATTTATCTCCTTCCAATCAAAATCAAACTAAAACGGCTTAAAGACACAATATTTGGAGGGTCCGAGAACTCACCACTCACTCAAAAATAACATGATAACAAATACATACCATGAAATTTAGAAGATACAAATCTCATGCATACACCATAAGATAAATTATACACTCTATTTGTACGTACACTACACTATATATTATATATATATATTATATATATATATATATTCTTAATACGTAAGTTACGTATAGATGAGTATATATATATAGAGAGATTTAGAGATGGAGAGTGGTCCAGTTTGAGTCTCTCGCTGACCGACTTGTAAGAGAGAACAGTCGTCGTGTGTGAAGGGAGAGAGATTCCCTCTTGGCCAGCTTTCTTTTTGGTCTTATCCTACATGACTCTTTGCAACAGCCCAAAAGCTTACTATCACAAATAATAAAAACAAAATTATATTTATTAAAAATTTTACCGACGACCCCCCCCCCCAAAAAAAAACAAAACCTTTTTTTTAACTTTCTTGGAAAATATGTCCATCCCATTTTTCAACCCATCAAACAAATGAAATATCTTGCGCTCCATAAGTATTTGTGGGATTTATATTGAGAAAACTAGTGTAAAAACATTCATCAATTTGAAATAAAGTTTCTACATGTATATATAAAGGAATGAATATTTTATGAAGCCAGAATTCTTATATATTTATTATATAAATTTGCAAAACATTAGTTGAACTTCTTGTAATTGTGTACTCTATGACAACCATAAGAAAACATATATAGTCGTCGGCTTACAAAGTTAAAAAATTTATTTTTCAAAGCCTTAAAAATTAAAAAGAAACATAAATTTAAGATTATATAATTCTGTCAATTTGGTGTATTCTTTAAATTGTCTTTCTATATATTGTACTCTTAATATGTAATTATTTACATTCTTACTTGTTTTCTTCTTCATAACTCTCTCTGTCTTCTTGCTCTCAGATTTTTTACTTGATTTAGTAGAGAACTGTGAGACAAATGAAAGAGTGTTTCTGTATCTCTCTCTGTCCAACTGTTTTGTCTTCTTACTTCGAAACTCTCTCTTCCTCTTTCTTTCTCTCTCTCTTCTCTCCCAACTAAACCAACATGATGATGCCAGATGATCATCATCACCTCTCAGTCCCCAGCTATGTCCTTAACCAAGAACACATCACCCCAAATCCTAACCCTAACCATAATACTGCCACCTCAAACTCAACCAAGAAGAAAAGAAATCTCCCGGGAAATCCAGGTATGTACACTCAATCCAAATCTTGGACTTTTCATATATTCAATAGATATATTTCTTGATAATTATTTCTATGTGTTTCAATCAAGAACAATGACCTTGTTCCAACTTCGGATCCTTTTGTCTTGTAATGTATATATATATATATATATATATATATATATATTGATTTCCATTTTTTCATTTCCTTGTTTTAATTTGGTAAACTAAAACAAATTAACAAAAAAAAAAAAAAACAGATCCAGATGCAGAAGTCATCGCTCTATCGCCAAACTCCCTCATGGCGACGAACCGATTCATCTGTGAGATCTGCAACAAAGGATTTAAGAGAGACCAGAACCTTCAGCTTCACCGGAGAGGCCATAACCTTCCATGGAAGCTAAAGCAAAGGACGAACAAAGAGCAAGTCAAGAAGAAAGTGTACATCTGTCCTGAGAAGAGCTGCGTACACCATGACCCAGCTCGAGCCCTCGGTGACTTAACCGGGATCAAGAAGCATTTCAGCAGAAAACATGGAGAGAAGAAGTGGAAATGCGACAAATGTTCCAAGAAATATGCTGTCATGTCCGATTGGAAAGCTCATAGCAAAATTTGTGGTACCAGAGAATACAGATGTGACTGTGGTACCCTCTTTTCCAGGTAATTTTGAAACACACTTTTCAAAGTATAAATTCTCTCTGATTGCTTCCTTTTCTCTATATAAACCAACTGATTTAGTTTGAGCTTCGTCTCAAGATCTCTGGTTTGTTTAAGTAACGTTCTTGATTTGGTTTCTTTGATGGGTTAAAACAGGAAAGATAGTTTCATTACGCATAGAGCATTTTGTGACGCTTTAGCTGAAGAGAGTGCTAGATTAGTCTCAACTCCCGCACCGGCACCTGCACCCGCTTATTTGAACAATGCCCCGGACATGGAAGTCAACCTTGGAAACATGAATGCAAATCCTCAAAATCGACAACTGAACACTACATCTTCTCAACTGGACCAACACGGTTTCAATACCAATCGCAATAACATCAATGCCTTCTTGGGACAAACCTTTACCAACCAGCTTCCCTTACCAACAAACGTATTCGCCTCCTCATCATCGCTTTCACCTCGTAGTGCATCAGAATCGCTTCAAAATCTTTGGCATGTACAAGGACAATCATCTCACCAATGGCTCGTCAACGAAAACAACAACAACAACATTCTCCAGAGGGGAATCTCCAAGAACCAAGAAGAACATGAGACTAAGAAGGGAATTAGTAACGGTTCTTTGTTCTCTTCAGAATCTCGCAATAGTTATACTCCAAACGGTGGACAAGTAATGGCATCCATGTCGGCTACTGCATTGCTACAGAAAGCGGCTCAAATGGGATCAAAGAGAACATCATCAAGCTCCGACAATAGCACGGCTTTTGGTTTAATGACTTCCTCCATCTTCAACATCAAACAAACGGAGAGTAATGTAAAAGCTAAGGAAGTTGATGAAAGAGGCTTCACCAGAGACTTTCTTGGTGTGGGAAGTCAACACCGTCCCTGGCAATTATTAATGGCCAACCATAATCATCGCGAGTCATCTCCTCCGGCAAGAACCAACGGCATGAATCAGTAATCAGGTAAATTAAACTCGTTGTTACATGTATATGATTGTCGTCAATAACATTTTGTTATATGTATCTATAAATGAATTTGAAGAAGATTTAAGAATCCTCTGTTTGTAATATTTTGTAAAAGCAGAAACTAATCCAAGTGACGAAGAGTGTACAAATCAACCACGGCAGCACAAAACGAAGAAAACTGTGAAAGATGATGATATTCCGAGTCGGAGAGAATCTCTGAGTTAACTCGGTGCTGCAGACTGGGTCCTCGCGCTTGACGAAGATGGCTATTAGGGTCCACTCCTGCATGCATGGGGAAACTTCTGACCATGCATGCACAACAAACCATACGCTATGTCTTTTCCTATTCTTCTTTTTCTTTTCTTGTAACTATTTCATGACTTTTATTTTGAAAGATTCTAAAAGAAACGAGGACAATGTTTGTACGTAGGTTATGTTAAAACTTTATGTAGATGTTACATTTTTTTCCCCTGGTAAAAGGTTAAGCTTGTTAAAACTTTTTCTTATAACCATAAGTAAGTTAACCTCTAATTTTTTGGTAGTAAAATTAACATCAAAACCAAAAAATATATATATATACAGTAGCGGATCTATAAAAAAAATAGTTGAAAACATAGATTTATAAAAAAAAACAAAAAATTAGTTGGGGGTAATTTATTTATTTTTACTATTAAATTAAAAGTTTTTGATTAAATTTATTTAAATTATTTAAAAAAGATATAAACAGTAAAGGGCACTTGACCCATTGAATTTTTACTACCTCCTCCCCCTATATATATATCTAATTGTTATTGCTTTAGAATGAGTTACGTTATACTGTTATAAAGAGAAAACAACGGTTAAACACAACGAAGAAGCAAAGAGTGGATGGCCTCTCACATATTGGATAGCATTTGGTATTTGTGAGACATAAGCTCATCAAACTTAAGGTGGTTTTTTTTTTAATAACTGTAGGTATCCCAGAAACTGTTTAGGCCCAAAAACTAATCCCAGAAGACCTTGCATTAGGATACACATTTGGAAATATTTCAAATTTAAAGTACAGTTAAGTGGTTAAGAGGACTCGAACCCATGACATGTTAACCAGAATAGGTTTTCTCTTTATCTACATGTTAACCAGAACAGGTTTTCTTAATAATACAATCGGTGATACCAAGACGGTCTTGTTCCAGCTTCAATCAAAAGTTGTTTTAAATTCAACTAAAAGTTGTTAGTGAAATCTTTATTGTCTGACATTCAGAAAATATTTTTCAATTGAAATTGGCAAGAGAAATATAATGTTATAAGAATTTCATAAATTTGTGATGGTGAGATACTCATGAATTTTTCAATCGGAGTATCTCATGAATTTAATACTAATATTTTAAGAATAATTTTTTTTTTTTGAGATATCCAGCAAATTTTTTGCCTCCATTAATGAGATATCTAAAAATACTTTTCACATAAATATTTTATTTTCTGTCATTTTTTTAATTGAAATTGGCAAGAAAAATATATATATATAGGCCATGTTCGTTTTTGGATCTAGATGTTGCATCTAGATTTTGCATATAGATCAGCATCTAGATACAACATCTAGATATTGTTTGTTTTGGAAACTAGGTTTTGCATCAAGATGCTACGTTTAGATATTAAATTGTTCGTTTGTAAATTTAGAAAAATAGTTGGATGCAAAATATATCAAATGAATAAAAAGAACATACTTTTGAATTAATATTTTTTAATTAATGATGTTTTTATTAAATTAAGTTTTAAAAATATATAAAAATATTTTTTTTTGCATTTTTTTGTGGGAAAACATGATTTTGTATATTTGACGCAAAAATTTTTTACCGAAATTTTGAGTTTTTGATAGAAAATCTAGATATCATGTTTTTGGCAGGAAATCGAGATTTTGCGTTTTCGGCGAAAAGCTGAGAGTTTTTGTTTTTGGTGAAAAATCGAGATTATGTGGTTTTTGGCGAGAAATCAAGATTTTGCGTTTTCGGCGAGACACCGAGATTTTTCATTTATTGGCGAGAAATCGAGATTTTGCGTTTTTGGCGAGAAACAAAGATTTTTTTCGTTTATGGCAGGAAACCGAGATTTTTCATTTTTGGCGAGAAATTGATATTTTGCGTTTTTGGCAAGAAACCGAGAGTTTTCGTTTTTGGCGGGAAATCGAGATTTTGCATTTTTGGCGAGAAACCTAGATTTTCCGTTATTGGTGGGAAGGAGATTTTGTGTTTTTTGCGGGAAATCGAGATTTTGCGTTTTTGTCGAGAAACCGAGAGTTTTTGTTTTTGGCGGAAAATCGAGATTTTGCGTTTTTGGCGAGAAACTTAGATTTTTCGTTTTTGGTGGGAAATCGAGATTTTGTGTTTTTTGCGGGAAATCAAGATTTTACGTTTTCGGTGGAAAACCGAGAGTTTTCGTTTTTGGCGGAAAATCAAGATTTTGCGTTTTTGGCGAGAAACCGAGATTTTTCGTCTTTGGCGGAAAATCAAAATTTTTCGTTTTTTTGAGAAAAATCGAAAATTTTTTTGTCTTAGCAGAAAATCGAGATTTTGTGATGTTTGTGGAAATCGAAATTTTGTGATGTTTGTAGAAATCAAGATTTTTATTTTAGTAAGAACATTAATATCTTTTACATAAACTAGATGCAAACGTTGTATCCGAACTCTCTATTTCTCAGCATCTATAATATCCAAATTTTTGAGATGCTAATCAATTTGCATCCAAATGTTGCATCTGAACGCAAATTGTTTTGTGAAAAAACGAATAACATTTAGATATTTGCAGCTAGATGCAGCATCCAGATACATAAACAAATAGGGCCATAATATAAACAGTTTTATACTTCAAATCACTTTTCTACTTTTTAATTACAGATATATTATTTTCTACTCTTCGATCACTTTTTTCAATTTTTAGATAGTGCAAATAAAATTCTCTCCTTCTTCTATTTCTAAACAAATATACTTTTTTGAGAGAAGACACATTTACCCTATAGTGTGATGTTTTGACTATTATATCCATTTTTTAAAATGATAATGACTCTTATCTTATTTCTTTTCTATTTTATTTTTATTTATATCACATATCCTACATCTTTTTGTTTTTTTATTTATTTATTATAAACAAATATATAATCTAATAATTATTTTTGCACTTTCTGTTATATTTCTTTCACTACAAAAAAATATGTCAAATTTTGACCATATTTTTTTTGTCAAAAAATATATCGACAAAATTTTGACCAATAAATGACAGATACTGAATTGGTCGATAATTAGTCAAAAATTTTTGACCAAAATGTATGGTTGATTTTTCATCAAAATTTTTCGACAATTTTGCGATTGTTGATAGAAACGATCACATATTGGACACAAAATTTTGACAAAATTTAACTGAAAAAAACTGGTCAAAAATTACTGACTATAGAGCCATTATAGATGTCTGTAGCCATTTCAAAGTTTTTATTGACCATATACTAACAAATTTTAATTTTGGTCAAAAACGATCAAAAGTAATATAAATCCCACATCAAAAATAAAAATAAAAGTGGTTTAACATGTTCTATATAAATAATGCTACATTCTGAACAAAGTATAAAGTGTTCGAACTTATACCATTGGGCTTCGAAAGGCTCACCATTAAGTTTAATTATATATCTAATTAATCTCTAACTTTTTTAATATATAATTTTTTTAATATGTTAGATACTAAAATTCATCATAAATTTTTGACCAATATTTGGTCAATATTTTTTGAATAATATATTTGGTCAAAAGTGTTTGACCACTTTTAATTCGTCAAAAATTTTTGACCAATGTATTTGGTTAAAAGTTTCTGATCATTTTTATTTGGTCAAAAAATTTTGACTTATTTATTATCGACGAACAATTTTTATCAACCACTTTTTGGTCAAAAAATAGTCAAAAACACCTGTTTTAACGGATTTATAACTGTAATGATGGTCAAAATATGACATATTTTTTGTAGTGTTTTTTTTCTCTTTATTTTGATACCATTTCACAATTTTTTACTTATATACGAACCAAAAATTTTAGAAGAAACTAAGCATATCCATATAGTTGAATATATGTGTGTCATATTCTTGTGTATACGCATGTATGTCCATGTAATTGCATCCATATGTACCATATGTACGTGGATACGTCTACATATCAATATAACTGCATCCACGTATACGCAAGTATATAGAGACATATACATTTTATCTATTGATAGTGTAAACAGAATTGTTAAATTATTTTTTATAAGAAAAAATAAGCAAAATAAAATATATGGGATATATGAGATAGAAAATAAAGAGAAGATAGGAAAATGGTAGGAAAACTAAAAAACACACCTACTAATGATGAAGGGTGCCCCAACACAAGATGATGAGGGTTTTTTGCATCATTTACATTATCTAAAAATTGAAAAGTGCTATGATAGTAAAAAACGTATTCAGTAATTAAAAAACAAAAAGTGATATGGACTGTAAATAACTCTATAATGTAAGCCCATTAGGCACATGTTCATTAGGCTCTGATTGGCAATGACTTACTTTCTCAAAATATTTTTTTTTTCAGAGCTGCTGTCGCCGGTTTGCTCTCCCTCACTTTTTTTGTAGTTTTCTTCAGCTTCAGCGAAATAGTAAACACTCCTTTATTCTTCCTCATTCCTCGCTGGCAACTTGCTTACTCAAAATTAGGTTTTTTCATTTTCAGATCTGTTGCTGCTGTTGTCGCCAGATTTTTCTTTGTTGCCGCCTGCTACTTCTTCCTTCTCCTTTAGAGTTTAGGTTTCCTGAGTTTTTTTTATTATTTCAATTTTTTGCAGACTTCTTTACAATTTTCAGACCAATGTTGTAAACTTCTTATGTAGTTTTTTTAAAAAATTTCAGACTATTGATCATGAACTTTTTTTGAGTCATGCATTTGGTTATGAACTTATTTTGTGTAATGATCATAAGTGTACTGGTATGTATAATGGTCATCAATTGTAATAATCATCAAGTATGGTGGTCATCTATAATAATGGTCATGAACTTGTTTTGTATCTTTATCAAGTGTGATACTTCTTATGGATTTTTAGTACACTTCTTATGGATTCAAGTATACTTCATGTAGATTTTAGTAGACTTCTTTTTAAATTTTAGTAGACTATTTTTTATTATAGGAGTCTTCATTTGAATCTGGTAATGAGTAAGTTAACTCCACCAACTCAGTTTTCTTGTCCAGATTACAATCATCTTGTGCCATTCAATAAGTTTTTAAAGGTACAACCATCACTCAAAAAGAATATTCTTCCTCCTTTGCCATTATCTACCACAAAATGCCACAAATTTTTTTCCATATTCCATTCTCCATAAATAACAGGTATTTGAACCATTCTCTGTTAGAAAATACAAAAAAATTATATTAGCAAACATAATTATGAACTACATTATTACAAACACATAAGTAACAGATTTTCTGTAT